CTTGTGATGCTATAGGTCCCCTTAAGAAACTTACCTCCCATTTGTTTGAAGTTTAAGTTGTGAGTTACAAATATACAAGAAAGTGTGACAAAAGAGAGAGAGAGAGAGAATGAAAGAATGAGGAAGGGAGCGAGATGAGGATGATGTGCCGTTAGAAGACGAACAAAAAGGTGTCCAACTAAGATTATAGTAAGAAAAAGAGATAGGTAGGGAGACGAAAATGGAGACGATATATGAGAGAAGGATAGTAAAGAAGGGAAAAATAGAGAATTACAAACTATTACTTCTATGAAAACTATTTGGTACATCATTTTATGTTAATATTACAAACAACTACTCAAAGCAATATACAAACAGCAGTTTTAACATTAACTCACTTAATACTGTTTCGAACGAAACATTTTCAAATGAAGTCGAAATGATTGATAAAAATATCTCCTTAATTCTATCCTTTTTTTGTTTTGTTGATAGCATTGTGGGATTTTTTGTAATTCATATTCAGGTTTTAATTCATTGTGGATGAATGGAGAACTCAACCTCGCAGCAAATTTTAAAGTTGGGGCGCCCCCTCTTATCTGTGCAAAGGAATGTTCTAGAAAAATCATCTGATTTAGAATTTTTAACAAAATAATAACTCGCTGTTGTATACCGTATTATAATCGTCAGTGCCAAATTTCCATTTTAGGTATTTTAATCTGTGTTAGTTGTGAGGTACAATTTCAAGTGAAATATTATGACGTATGACATCTATTTTTCTGTCATAGCAGGCATAAATATCTTTCTCGCACGACTCCTCAACAGCGTCCTGGTCTTCTTCTGTCGATCATCGACTCGTGACAATGATAAAGTATGAAGAGATGGGAGTTGTTGCTACATTGTTTGGCGTTCAACAATAAGGGATAGAGCAACGTCGATCTGGTGCTGCTCAGTGGCTGCCGGGCTCACGATCAACTGGGCAAAAAGAATTTCCGTTTCGGTTTAATAAAATTTGGAGCCGACTATTAGGCTATTATTATTATTATTATTATTATTATTATTATTATTATTATTATTATTATTATTATTATTTCCATTGCCTGATGGTACTATGTCACCTACTATTTATGTGATTGCATTGTCAAAGAAACCTGTAACAATGTATTGGAAATTGTTGATTATTACTACGAATTTGTAACGTGAACATTTAAAGAGACTAAGGTTTGATCCAGCATATTCAGTCTTGAGAAGAAGAAACAGTCGCACTACAAATCAATTAATAATAATAGTAATAATAAGGCATTTCTATACTGCCTTTATTTAGGGGTAGATGGGACTAAACAATCGGGTGGAATCGGAAAGTGGCCCAATGATATGAAACAATTTCAGGAGAAACTTATTCATTTTTATTCTGGTAAATAAGTTTTTTAGAATTGTATAAAGTGCACTCATTTAAAAGTGCTTTTGATCAAATGATGTTTTTCGTGTCAGTCTGATATTTCCTCAATGTACCTCTTTCAGGTGGCTCTGTCGACTTCTGTACATGTTCTGTTGATACTTCATTTAGTAAATCTTGTTCAAAATATTTTCCAAGTTATACTAATAATCAATTTAGCTATTGTTATACTTAATAACATCCAGACGAAAAAAAGGAACACTGACGATGTGTTTATTGAAATAATTTTGACCGGTTATCAAGCCTTTCTTATTAACTTGTTGACGACTTAATACACCAGTTTACAGTTGTGTGCGCCATTTCAAACAAGGCCAATGACCTAGAGGTCATGTATTTATTCGTAAATTAAGATTGCGCCCATGCAAATTTTGATGATATCACTGCCTACGCGCTGCGTTGTGCGCGCACATTATCATTTGCATGGGCGCAATCTTAATTTACGCATAAATACCACTGGTCAAAGATTATTGGCCCCGCTTCCGGGGCCAATGACCCGAGGTCAACTGTCTGCGCATGCGCACTGATACAACTGTAAACTGGTGTATTCTCTCATTCCCATAGGCTTAATACAGCGTCTACCCGGTTCCAGTAGGCAAAGGGTTAATGTAGCAATAATGACAATCATAGTAATAGGGACAGTAGGAATACATTAGAGTCGCCAGGACAATTTAATATACATACGTTTATACCATGTATATAAATGATACAGAAGAGAAAGTTTATGCTTTAAATCCGACAGTTTTTATTACTTCACGAATTTTCAACGTACATCACGTCTTCGCTTATCGTCTTCCTCATCTTATATTGCATCAGGTCATACCAAAACGTGGACTTAATATCGCATATCTTGTACACATTGATGTTATTTATTTATTTCTAATCTTTTAACAGGGTAGCCCATTCACCAACAAGTAGTGGTCTTCCATGGGGCCCTGAATAAACATGAACATATTTACATCGTTTATAACGTTTATACAAAACAGTTAACACAAATAATACTCATTTGTAAAATAAATATATATCATTAACCTAGTTAACAGTAATGTCAATAGGAAAATATTTATTAAGTCGCAATTATGTGAATAAGTCATGTTAATATTACAAAACATGCACGTAGTGTATGTTCGGCTAAGCCATTCACAAATTACAACTTTGTTTAAACAATCTCTTAAATCAATTGACAGAAGAAGCCGTTCTCAATGAATCATCTAGCTTATTCCATTCAAATATGGAAGAAACAATTGGGCTACACTTATAACAATCAGTGTGAAATCTAGGCACACGTAAACATCCACTGTCTATTTGCCTTGTATGATGCTCATGTACATCATTAGGATTGATTAAGCCTACCTGAAGGTAAGAAGGTGCTAAGTTATGAACGCATTTATATATCATCATAATGCGACTTGACTCAAACCGCTTGTCTAGTGTCATCCATTTAAGACTTGTGAACAAATCAGCCGACGGTGTGTCATATGTCTTGTTTAATATTATTCTTGCGGCCCTCATTTGAATTTTTTGCAGCTTAGTTGTATGAGAATGAAATCTGTCCGACCATACAGCAGAGCAGTAATTTAATCGTGGCAACACTAGACTCTTATAAAGTAACTTTAAGGATTTTTGAGGCAAAAAACTCTTTGCTCTCATGATTATTTAATGTTTTTCTGGGTATGTTTACTTACGTTTTCGATTTGTTTAGACTATTTTAATTCTTCATCTATCAAAAGTCCTAAGCATTTGGTGAATTGAACTCTTTTGATCAAATTGACATTTAATGAAAAGGTGAAATATTCAATTTTCTTGAGATTAGCACGAGAGCCTATTAACATAACACAAGTTTTTTTAGTGTTAAGAACAAGACGATTTTCCTTAATCCATGCCATGACTCTGTTTAATGCAACAGGTATTTTTTCTTCTACAACAGTTGCATCATTTGCTCTAACGGTAAGTGTCGTATCGTCAGCATACATATCTATGATACCTTCATGAATACATTCAGGTAGACTATTAACATATATTGAAAATAAAAGGGGACCAAGAATTGAACCTTGTGGCACACCTAATTTGATGGTTGATGGATGCGACTTGGCTCCTTTGAATTGGGTCGCTTGTTGTCGATCCCCTAAATATGATTTGAACCGATAACTAGTCATAGTACTACAACCTATACAAGCTAGTTTATGTAGAAGTAGCTCATGACCAACAGTATCAAAAGCCTTACGAAGATCTATGAAGGCAACTCCAGAAATTTCTTTGTTATCAACATTCAACGACCATAGATTTACAAGTTTTGCAAGGGCAGTAGCTGTTGAATGTTTAGGTCTAACACCAGACTGATAAGGGGTAATTATTGATTCCGGTCCAAGAATTCACTGAGTTATTGGTGGACGGCCCTTTCCATAATTTTATTCACGATAGGTAATATTGAAATGGGGCGGTAATTATTCAAAGTAGAAATATCTCCAGATTTGAATATTGGTACTACCCGAACCTTTTTCCATTCACGTTGGAACAACTCCTGTAGACAGGAATTTGTTAATGATATCACAAAGAGACTCTGCGATAACATTCTTCGTCATCTTTAAAAGTGTACATCTGATGTGATCTTCACCAGTTGCTTTATCTATACTCAAATTATCAATCTGTTTCAATACAAAATCCTCATAAATCAAATTCAAATTAAATTGCGAATGAGTTAGACCAATATTATTGTCCTCGTCTACTCTCAGTTCAGACGTAAGTCTTCGCAGGTCCTTTGTAATCTTAGTATCATTAGAAATGAAGAAGTCATTAAAAGCTTCAGCAATATTTGCATTGTCGGACACAAGGTTTCTAAAACATCTCCACATTTGCTTACTATTGTTATGATTTTGCGAGATCTGGTCTGCATTAAATTTCTCTTTTTCTTTTCATCATGATATGAATAACTGTATTCTTTAGATGTTTGTAGGTGTTCCAAAGATCATCACTTTTGTTAGCTTTAGCAGCATTGAGAACTTTATCACGTTCCGTCATAAGCTTAACAATCTCGTCAGATATCCATGGACAAGCCTTTTTTATTATCCGCTTTTTAAGCTATGGTCACAAATCAGACCAGCGACCGATCGATCAGTAGCCTGCTCGGTCGCTGCTGGAATTAGGCATCGCCCAGCGATTACGTCGGTGCCCGGTCAGCGACCGCCCAGGCACCGAGCGTATTTTGGGCGGCGACTAAAAAGTGAGCAGGCGCCGCCCAAATTTTAACTCCGCGCTAAAACTTCAGCGGCGACCGAGCGATGCCCTAAAAACGAGCGGTGCCTGGGCGGCCGCCGCTCGGTGGCCGGGCAGCCGCCGGGCAGAATTGGTTAAAAATTCGCCGCTCAGCCGCCGAGCAGGCTACTTTTGGGTTATGTGACCATAGCATTACATACTGGTATGACATACTGGTACACATAAATGTATATACAATATATAATACATATATACATATACACAATATATGCGATAGTATGTATACATCTTGTATACATATATATTTTCAAGATATCTCGTATTCTATATATATATTTATATACATATGAAACAAGAGACTCAACACACACATACAAATCCTGTGTTGGCAATGTATTGGTGTATCACAATTTCGCTCATCCTGCCCATAGTGCTTCTACATATTTTCTTAACCTGAAGAAGCCCTATGGACTTGCGAATCTTCCGAAAAAATGGATCTTCAGAATTATGAAACTTCGGCAAAATGACAGGTAACCGGTGTCACTGCGTTCCTGCTTCGGATCTGACCTTAAAACACAAGTTTTTCGAGGATTAGGCGAAACAGAAAGAACAGAATGTAACTGACTGCCGGGAACTACAAGAAAAGTAGGCGCAATGCCAGCCGTGTATCAAGTTGTGCAACCATTGTATTACATTTCTAATGCTCATGCACCCAATTTTCATGTAGTTAGGACCGTAAATCTTTTGCAACACAACATGTGATTTATCATAGATAAATGATTGATTTAAAAAGGGGCTACATCCACTTTTGATTAAAAATTAAACTGAAAGATAAATAATGAATCTGATACATCGTAAACAACTGAACTATGTTACCTTTAAAAGCATATTTTGGGAAAGATAAACAAATTTGATCACAACATTTTGTTTCATTCCAAAAGGGGCTAGACTCAAAATTGTTTCATTTCCAAGGAAGTAAATCCACTATGTTGATTAGGAATTTGTTTGTTTAAACCAAGTTTCATTAAGCTTAGTTTTACGATAAGACGGAGATACTAGTCAAAATAGTCCGTGCAAAACGTCAATGAATTCAACATATTTTAACATTGAAACTAATGTTATGTTTCAGCTCCTTCTTTAAAGCCACACTGTCCTACTTGTAGCTACTTGCTCCCTCTACATCGATGACCATTGGTCCCCCATGATCCTCTTTTTCTTATGTTAATTGATAGCTCAGTTGATGAGATAACCATCTGTCCAGTGAACAGGCAGGGTGGTCTAAACCCTCCTATAAACTAGTACAGATAAACTTTAAATGAAGTACCCGAAAGCGTTGCTTTTAAAGGAAATAACAACATTTTCAAAATTTAACCACAAATAACATTCGAAAATATGATAAAAATATTCTGCTACCAGTATTACTGTGCTTCAAATGACAATTTGAATCGAAAACATTGTTAAAACGGGGAAAAGAGGACAGCCGATATGAATTTCATTCCGTAAAGGTACTAAATCGACGAAAGTTTTAATTTTTTAGAAATCTGAGTAATAGAACTCATTGCTAGATTTTCTTTAAAGATAGTCAAAAAGATAAAATACAATACTCCTACCATATATGCAAAAAAAGTGAAAGTGGTCAATGAAAAACCCTTGATTTACAATAAAAAAAAAACTAAAAGTGGATTTAAACCCTTTGGGAATAAAGCTCTTCAAATTTAAAGGTACATTCAAATCTAATGTAATATATGTCAGGTCACTGTGCTATCCATACCGTTATCAGTGACAACCTGATTCCTGTTTGCCGTTTGGAGTTTCCCTTTACAGCGTTTCACATCACAAGCCCAGCGATCGAGGAGCAGAAACTGCCGAAAGTTTCGACGAAAGTGCACGTTAGTGGCGGCATAAATGAACGGATTAATGGTGGAGTTACACCACAAGAGTGAATTTGTGATCTCCCACATACTGTCCGAAATGCAGTTGGTGTTGCAAACAGCAAACATTATGCTCGTCACCTGATAAGGTAACCAGCAGAGCAGGAAACACCCGATCAGGATGGACAAAACGAAAGCTGCTTTCCGGTGTCTTGCGAACATCCGACATTCTTTCTTTGAATGTGTAGATAGTTCTTTATTGAGGGTTTCCTCACCATCTGCGTGACTTTCAATTGGATCAGCAGCTGCGTTGGCAGCAGGATTACAAGAATCGACCCCTTGGCTAGCTGGCTCTTCCGAATGACAGAAGTTTCCTCGTCGGGGCGACCTGGTATTCTGCTTATAGCTCTTCTTGGGGGAACTAACCGAACTATTTGTTGAAGGACTTTGTCCTACGGTGCCTTTGGATCTCCGTTTGATATTGATAAACACAACAGTGTTTAGAAAGATTAAGACTGTAAACGGAATGAAAAACTCAAATATGTTCACGACAAGTGTTGCGGCCACGTTGAATGTTAATTCCATTTCACAGTCTTGTGAATAATCCACGTTGTAGTTTCCGGTGATGGGGCTCCAAGCGAAGGTCAGAAATGAATACCACAGACCAACAGACGTCCAAGCAACAACGAGGATCACGTAAATGCGCTTCTTGGTCTGAAACGTCTTATACTGCATCCCCATCTTCACAAGACAGTACCGGTCCCAGCTGATCAGCACCATGGTTATCACGGACATCATGGTGACAGTGAAATCTACGATCAACCAGAGCTTGCACTGGATTTCACCAGTAGTCCAGGAGTCTTTGATCATCCAGGAAGTATTAACGGTAATGATGAAGGTACCGACGATTAAGTCCGTGATTGCGAGGTTCAGGATGAAGAGATTCGCCACATTGCTTCTGATGCGTTGATCCCGAAAGTAAGCTGCAATCACCATCATGTTTCCCATGATTGTAACAGCGATTATGACTGATAGGGTCAAGGGTACTGTGGCCAGCCACGCCGTTGAATGCGCTGAAAGTTCTTTTACATCTTCGGAATCAAACGAATCATAAGAAGAGCTGGAGCCATTTGGATTAATATTACTTGCGTTTTCCATCTTGATACGATAAGTGAAATTTACTTCCCAAGTTGAAGGTTTTGCCAAAAATCACTTTGATACCTTTCTTAATCACCAACCTTTCGGCCAACTTGGGAACACTAGGCCTGGCGATGTCAGACCTTAGAGACTGAAGAGTGCTCTCTTGTTTTCCCCAAGGCGTCGACCGACATTTCTCATCTTAACCGATGTTTAATGATTGATGTATTAATGCGTTTTCCTTTATACTAAAGATTTTGAATCAATCACGCGTATAGGAAGCGCGCACGATCATTAGACGACCTTTTCGGTGCCACTTCGTTTCGCTAGTAAATTCGCCTTTATTGGTGCTGTCAATCGAACGTGGTATCCATGGATACACAATGGAGTAATCGATGATGTACGTCTCTTGCTGTCCAGACCTGTAAAATATCAAATCGAATAAGAATAAGTGAATATGTTACTGCTGATAAAACAAGTTGAAGTAAGTTTTATATAAATCTTCCAATTTTTTATAGGAAGATCTTCGTTGATTTTGTTTTTGGATCACTTCACATATGGAATATAAAAAAGTTAGCATGAAATAAATGCGTGAAGATATTAAAACATAATCTGTGAAACGTTTGAAATGAATTACATAGAGACATGTAGCAGTGTTTTACCCTTAAGAGCTGCGTAGGCCTATAGGAAACGAAATGATAAACCAGGGCTTTGGAGTTTAGGAAGGTAGAAACATAGATCGCAAGATGAAAAAAAAAGGAAACTGAATCGTGTTGGAGAAAACAACTATCAGGCGTGTTCAACGTTAGTTTTTAAGTATAGTGTTGCCAACATATCAATATCAGAAGACCTAGACAGTGCAGCACTGACACTTGGGATTGTGGAATAAAAACAACAAAATTGACTGCTTATATTATGGGTTACGTTTAAAAACTATAGGCCCTTGGCGAACGCAATACTGCAATTTGTCCCTCGACTTCGTTAAGGGATACAGTACAGTTTCAATATCACCTGCCTGGGTAATAGTTTTATTACAGTGTCCCTCAAAACAGTCAACATTTCGTCCTTGTTTTCACGAAGTGACGGTAGTGAGGAAAATCGTAACGCAACGTGAATGCAATTTTTTTTCACTACCGTCACTTCGTGAAAACAGCGACGATTTGTATACTTTTGATGGACCGCAAATATCCTGCCTTCCATCCCTGGGAGTTTCGGGTAAATCCCCGTTTGATACTTATACAATTATATCATTCACGAAGAAAAGGTTACCCCCCCCCCCTCCCTAATGATGGGCAATGACGTGTGCCTCTTTTTAGTTTGCCACCATTTCCCATCGAGACAAAATAGCTATTATCTTTATCCAATATTTGTTTTCTACCACTACATGCATTATAGTATAGGTTCGTTATTTCATCACTGCATACATGGCGTAATATAAACAGAAGCCACTTTATCGGGTATTGATTTCAAACGATATTGGGATGTCTTACACGGGATTCAACATGAGCATTGCTTTTAGATCTGGGTGCTCTTGTGTCATACAATATCACCTTCTCCGATATAAGTGTAAACTTCCATACTATCACCATCTTTATTCCACAAATTTCCTACGTTACATGCATTAATAGATATATCTAGAGTCACTTTTGTTCTTTTAATAGATAAGTGATGCATTACATCACCTGAGCAGCAGCGGGCCAATTTGATTGGGCTATTTGGGACTCTCAATTGAGGGACTGCTGGTGTGACCAGCTGTCAACAATTATAGTTCGCAATTGCATACTATTTTTAAAAAAAAAACAATAGGGGACTGCTTCCTTTAAAGAGGGAGTAGGGTATACAAGCGGCTAGCGCGGACCCATTGCAAGACTCTTTTACTTCCAAACAGAAGCGGAGAGGGGTAACCAGCTTTTAATACACGTCTGCTGGTTAATAGGCCTCTGATGAGCTGCATGTCACCCCACAAGATAATGCATCGTAGGTGATAAATGTGTTTTCCCTTCCAGGCCCCTAATCATACTAATCGATTTTGTTTTTGTTTTTGTATACGGGTGTATGGATATGATAGGAGAACATGTGAAAAGGTATAAATCTAAATTGTTTAATGGTAAATTTCAAAGAGAGTAAATCCTGCTTAAGATGTGCTGCAGTAAACCGCGTCGTCTTTTGCTTGTCTTTGATGACTTAAAGTATCTCATAACACAGAGCTAAGTGATGACGCGTAGGACTTTCATTTCTTGCAGTTACCATTCATACAGGTTAGGCTCAGGGCACACAACAAGATCCAACTGAATTCCGATTTTTGAAGAATTTTAACAGCATTTTATTTGATCATTCCAACATTTAAAATCTTAATGATCGAGACTATGTGATTAGTTAAATCTAAAATGTAGGGGATTCCAAGCTTCATTGAAAGACGAGAAGCTAAGACGTCTCAGAATCGTTGTGACCTCGATCAGGCCAGTACAGTAGTAAAATTGTCTACGATTGGGTGCCGATTCGGCATCTATTCTGACTAGGTGACTTACCGTCACCAAATGGCGTTCTTATTATTATTCAGTACAATCTAAATCAGCAAAAAAAGTAATTGTTTAAATTTCCATAACTAATGTAATTCAAGTTTTCAAGAATCGGATCACAGTCGGTTCATGTAATGTGCACCAGGATATACAATAAAAACGTCATTTCATGTGATGTACCAGGTTATATCTAAACGAGCATCGATGTTACATCAACAATATATAAAAACAACTTTGGCTGATATTGTCATCCTGTATGAATATTTTTTTAATGAATAAATGAATAAATAAATAAGTTATCGTTTGTACCGATATCATGAATTTTAATACTCAATTAAGCACCTACAACAAAAAACGTATATATCATATTGATGACACCTATACCGCATATCGCTGTTGAAATTACCGAATTCCCCGTCGCGCCTCGCCTAATAATTAATCAAATTGATTTAATCGGAGTTCAGGAAGAAGGTTTTAAAGTGGTAAAAGGGGATAACCTTGGACAAGATTAAATTGTGGCGGACAATAAAAGAGATGCGTAATTCATGCATTTCTCGCTATGATTATAATGTACACACTTGGTGATGAGAGCATCAAATTCCCGCTTAAACGATAATGAATTTTCATCCAGATGGAATCAGTATTGAGCTTAGGCCTACAAAAAACTGTATTCATGATGTTTGATTATGTAAAATAAAGTGCACTTGCTCCAATTTTTTCCTCCGCCGATGTCTATAACAAATGATGCGTGACTTATTGTTTGGTCCCATGCATGTGTGTTTTAATGTATTTGATTGATTGATTTTTATTTCCCATGCAAAACATAATACAAAAATAATTATATCACAACAAATATGTAATGAAACGATAAATATAGTGGAAATAGCACTAGAAAAGAGGAACTAACTTGAAGCAGAGCTTGTTGAAGTGTTAGTTCCTCAGATGCAAATTTTACAATAAAACATGAACAAAGTATGCTTATAGATCAATAAATAGACAATATGTAGCTAGGAAGAAGGAAAAAAAGAAGAAAAATGAGGAAGAAAAAGAAAAGAAAAGAAAAAAAAATGAATGGAGGAAAATAGTAGAAGACAAAAACAAAAGCTCTAGAAAAGGGAGATTGAGAAAGAAATTAAGTCGAGAGTCAAACAAACCGAGATTCTATCATGTACATCTATATGTGTCTAAAAGTTTAGTCTTTAACTTAAAAAAAAAATGCATAGACTAATACTTTGTTTAAGAGATGGATCTATGTTATTCCAAAATACTGGACCGGTGTAAATAATTGTCTTTTGTGCGAAAGCTGTTCTCATGCGAGGAGTGTGGAAGTGGTTCGACTGTCTTGTGGGGTATGAATGTATCTCGTTATTTTTTTGGAAAATGGAGGAAATCGGGAGAGGTAACTCGATAATGCTGGCCCTCAATTGGTTACACCAGTTAGATACTTTATATGTAGGATCAGTTATATTCAGCGACTCATTAAGTGCCTTAGTAGCAATAAAGAACAAAAAAGAAGAGAATTTTATTTCAGAAATACTTGTAAGCTTATCCCACCTTAAATTAAAAAATATAAATGTTAGCTTTGAATGGATTCCCTCCCACTGTGGAATAACGGGAAATGAATGTGCGGATTTTCATGCTAAGGCAGCCCTCAGCAAACACATTGAAATAACAAACAGCCTTAATATCTCAGAAGTGAACAGCATTTTAGAGAGGCATTTTACCGAGCTGTGGCAATTAAGATGGCAGGTTTCTCCAAATACACATTACAAAACAATCCAAAAATCGGTTGCACAAACCTTCAATTGCAAACTAGAGCGAGCAAAAGAAAAGATAATACGTCGTTTACGACTTGGACACATTGGTCTTAACGCGGATCTAGGCCGAATGGGAATTCATCCAACTGGACACTGTAACTCGTGTCGAGAAGTAGAAACCACTGAACACTTTATAGCAAAGTGCCCGAAATATTTAATTGAAAGATCCATGCTACTCGCTGAAACAGATTGTATAAATTCCGACGATATTTTAAGGCTCTTAAATTCATCAGAAGCTAACATTCAAAACGCTTTATACCGTTTCGTTCTAAGAACGAAACGTTTCAACTAACCCAAAATAATCGAGCATTTTTTTTTTTTTTTTTTTTTTTTTTTTTTTTAATAATTTTTATTGCACCACCACTCACAAAAGCCCACATTTTGTTTGTTTCCCCTAAAAAGTTTAATTATCCAATGCAACATGTATTATAAACACCACTCTATCACAAAATTGTTTTTCTTTTGATCGAAGATTCATTAAAGTCTGCGAGGTCGCTCAAAGCCAATTTCCCCGGAAAAGTACCCTCTTGATTTTAAAATTGTTGATCAATTCCTTTCTTCTTTCGAGTTTCCAGATTATTTATGTATCCCAAAGGGAGCCCCCTGTCTACACCCGAGAGACAGGACGGTGTCTGGACGGTGTCTTAGAACGGACAGGACTACGCAGTAACCTACAGGATACAAAAATCTACATTTTGTCGTATTATTATTTATTTATTTTTTTCTTTCTTCATCTATTTTCTCTTTCATTTCATTTTAAGGGGAAAAAAAAAAAAGAATAAGAAAAAAAGAGAGAAGCCTATATTTAAATTATATTTTTGATACTCTTATTTTTTTAAAAAGAGAAAGAAAGAAATTAATATTAAAAAGAAAGGCGTTGGTGATAATAGTCAGGTCTTGACTGATTGCCATTACAACAAAAAACAACAACAACGTTATTAATCAGCTGGAACATAAAGATACCGAGGTACCAAGAATACGAGTCTTTAATTTTAAGAATTTTGTCTTGTGAAAATAAGTGGTTAGTGTGGGAA